GAGCGCAAACTGAGAAAAAATTTAAAAACCCGCCGACGCAAGCTGAGAAAAAAATTAAAAACCCGCCAACGCACACTCCAGCGCGTCAATAGTGTAGACGCCAGGGAGCGACGTGACTGCGCGGTGAGGTGGGATAAGGGAGGTAAGTGTGATCGCGATTATCCAGATCGAATATAATCGGGTCAGAACCGGAGCAGTTTAACCTGCTCTCAGCACACCGTCTGACCGCACCCACAATGTACAATTTTTCATTTGGTTCTTTATCTCCTCTAGATGGGGGTAGCTTGTTCTTGAATGCTTGCCTACAGTTTTTACTCTGTTCTCACTAAAACAATCTGGCAATTTTCCATCATCATTAATGAGTTTTCCATTATCATAAGTTTTCCCAAACCAGAGGCTTCTTCAGTGTTTTGGCTTAAAAGGTGCTTTGCAACTTTTTAAAGTGTTAAGTGCCACTGTGCCAGGGATATAGTCTCACTTTGGTTTAAGTTAAGACCATTCCTTCTGTATAGCCTCAGCTCGTCCCAAATTGTTGCTCAGTTCGTAACAAAACTGAACATCACTGACATCACTGCCTCATCCTTAGCCTAGCCTGTCCATTCAGCCCTGTATGTGGAACAGATAGCATTTGGGTGAATGCTCCCTTGGAGGTCCTGAACGTCCTACCTAGAAATGTAAACTTAGCTCCAATTTATATTTTCAAGAGTTAGCACAAATGTGCAGTATGACCGCAGGCTCCTTTCCTGCACTACCTAAGAGCCTGTTTACCATGGACATGACATCTGCTTTCTTTGCATCAGGTAGACAAGTCATGATGAGGTCACTAACCCATTTCTATATTTCTAGTTATCAAATCACCCATTGTTAGGACCATCCTTTCCACCCCCACCCCCCAGGATATCCTTACAAGAGGGCATTTGTTCATCACTCAAAGAAAGGTTTCCTTCTTCAATGATAATCACTTCAAGAATCAGTATGATCTCCTCCTCCCTTAAGACCTTCATTCTGCATAACAGCAGAAGTGTTGTCAGTGTAGGAGTTTGATCCTCCATACCACATCCCTGAAGGTCGCATTCTCAGGCCTCTCTGCCTGTTCCAGTTTTTACAGGTCAATCACCTTGGCTTCAAGAAAATGAGCTTGCTCCTTGAGAGCTAGGAGTTCATTACACCAAGGGTATACCCATGACTTCCAGCCATCAAGCAAATAGAAATTCTTGTGGCATTTAATGCAAACACTGGAAAGCTCTGCCACCTTTCTACCGTCATTATTTTAGCTTCGGTTAATATTTATAAAACTATGAATAGATAGTACCACCACATCCTCACTTACTGGTGTATCTTCTGCTGCTTTGAAGGTTTGGATTTCTCCTTTTTTCTGACAATAGTAAGGAGACTTTGGTGGAATATTAATTATTCCCCAAAGCTCTTGCTGTTTGTGTTTTACCAGCTACTACTGCTGCCCTTTTCCATAAAGTGTAGTTTCCATATTATTCCCACATTGCAAACGTGGGGCTGGAGCTGAGACCACTGTGGCTTGCCTACCTAGTAAATTCATGGCAGAGGGGATATTGACCTGAAGAGTTGCTGTTTTGTAACCCAGTCTCTTAGCCACTAGTCCAGCTCTGTGACTTGACATCTACACACATTGAGAGATGCAAGGCATGAATTCAGTAGGGTTTCCTGTTGAGATCTTTGTTGTTCAGTCGCACAGTCGAGTCCGACTCTTCGCGACCCCATGGACGAGCTCTCTCCAGGCCTTCCGGTCTTCTGCCGTCCTCTGAAGTTGGCTCAACTTCATGTTCGTTGCATCGATGACACTGTCTAACCATCTCATCCTTTGCCGTCCCCGTCTTCTTTGACCTTCAATCTTTCCAAGCATCAGGGTCTTCTCCAGTGAGTGCTCCC